GATTTGCATCACAGCCTCAAAATAAAGTCCCAGGAAAAAAGGATTCTGTTTGGAACAGAAAGAACCACACACTTCCTAATGAATCAAACCCCTAAAGAGAACTAAAATGTAAGGTGGGGTATGTTCCACTCATTCACATTCTCAACAGAACGCTCCTCTCAGAAAGAAACAGTGTGACTTAGATCATAATTCCAGTGCTTAATCTTTTGCCTGAAATTTCCAAATCTTTGCTTACATGCCCTTTAAGATCATAAATAGTGTTTAAAAACATTCCACAGTTGAATAAAAGTAGCAAAGATGATGTTTCTAAGAGACTTCCTTCCTTTTCCGTGGTCCGAAAACAACCCTCATTGTATAAAGCAGGTAGCAAGGTTCATGACCTCTTTTTACAGTACTTGTGTTCTCTGTAGAGTGTGGTTTTTATTTACATCCTAAAGCGTATATTGCTAATTATCCACTTCATTATCTCACTTATGTCCTAGCACAATAATGATATCAGCAAATTTAGAGTATTTGAGACTAATAGTCTCAAAAGAGTGGGAAAAAAAAACCAAGTTTACTGAATTCTAGGTTTTTAAATCCTCTTTGGTACAATGGCTTGCTTCCATTAGCACAATCCAGACATCACTGAACTACCCATTAAATCTGCCAGAAACCCCCGCGTTTCTAGGCATGCCGAGAAAATAGGTGGGAAGTAGTTCACAGCAACGCTCGGAGATGCTTGTGTAGGAGAGTGGAGGAGTATCACTAATGCTGATGTCATTGTCATTTCTGAAATTCCAGCCCTGATCACTCTCCCATCTGGGACACTTTTCTGATCTGGAATTCTCTATCTCTTCTTTCTCTCACTGCCCCCACACCTGACCCCTAGGGAATCACTGAGTCACTTCCTGTCCTCTAACCTTGTGGCTTAACTTCCCTTTCCATGAGAGCCTTGACCTGGGGGATGTGAAGAGAATGACAGAGGGAGAGGGTTGCTGGGAAGGCAGGGAAAGAGACAGAAGGGTCCCGGTCCATTGAGGTCAGACAAGGAGTTGCCGAGAACTGCACACTTTTGATTTTTTCGAGACCATCGTTGTCACGGTCATGATCTGAGTTGTGCATTACTTAATACTTGATTTACCTCCAGAATCTACTTATTGACTTTCTACTGCTTATTTGCGACTTCAGGAAGGGTGGAGAGTAAAAGAAATAAAAAGCAAATCGATCAATCTTACATTGATGAAAAGTCTAACTGGGCAAACCTGGGACCTGTTCAAAAGAAAGGGCTTGGATGGGCAAGCACTGTATTGAGACTCCTACCTTTATTTGTCACTAGCCATTCATTAATTAAATATCGTGCATGAGTCTTAGCTTTCCAGGTCAGTTTTTAATAAAAGGATATTTTAGTATAGTAAAACAAATTTAAATAAATCTTTTTTTTTTTTTTTTTGGCGAAACAGAGTCTTCCTCTGTCACCTAGGCTGGAGTGCAGTGGCATATCAGCTCACTGCAACCTCCGCCTTCCAGATTCAAGTGATTCTCATGCCTCAGCCTCTCAAATAGCTGAGAATGACAGGTGTGTACCACCACACCCGGCTAATTTTTGTGCTTTTCAGTAGAGACGGGGTTTCACTATGTTGGCCAAGCTGGTCTCAAACTCCTGACCACAAGTGATCTGCCCACCTCGGTCTCCCAAAGTGCTGTGATTACAGGCATGAGCCACCTAAATGAAGCATCTTTAACTAATGTTGTAGCAAAGCCCAGCTGACTATGGGATAGACGCTTGAGTGGACTCTGATTCTAACCTCCCTGGTTGTTGGGCCATAGTAAAGAGCACAGCCAAAGGCAGGCGGGTGAATCTGCCACGTGGCCTGCCACCAGCTCTCCTTCTTTGGCCACAGCAGATGTGCCCAGGTGACCTACAAGTTCCATATGGAGGTGGCGGAACTTCAGTAGGCCTGGAAGTGAAGCAGTATCTTCTGCCCCAGTGTGAGTGGGAAACAAACTTTTAGTTGGTTACCATGAGAAACACTTTGGGAATGGGAACCTCAGCCTTGTTTAAGCCCCAATGGCCACATATGCCTGGAAAAGAGTAGGTGTATGGCCAACATTTATGGGAATAGTGAATATTGAATGAGTCATACAAAAAATAAAAATGAACAGAGAGAGTTAATTCTGAGAAAAATTTCTGATTATGTTTGCTGCTACACACACATACACACACACTCTCTCTCTCTCTTTCTTTCAACTTCACTCTAAATATTACTCAAAATCTCTTTTGTCTTTTATGGCCAGTTTGTTTTCATGGAAACTGTCTAACTTTCAATACTCACCACACTGAGAGAGATTGTGAAACAGCTTCTTTTGAAAGGGATTCAGTTTTCTCCGCGAAAAACACTATTTCAATGGACCGAATAGGTTTGTTTTACTGCCCCTCATTTCTAGAAAGTCAGATGCATTTAAAAAGTGGTTTGGGGTGATCTGGACTTTAATGGTAGATCCTCTGAGCAGGTACTAACTGGGGGGTTACAGTTTCCTGGCTCTGTGCTTTCTTCATAAAGAATCTGTCAGTTTAGTTGGTGAAATGACAAATGAAAAGACACATTGCCTCAATAACAACACCCACCAAATCCCTTAGACTTTTGTAGTAATTTTCTGGCTAACTTTGCTTTTTAGGCTTAAGCTATGAAATGACATTCGGTGTTTCCTTTTTAAACCAACTGTTATTGTTTCTTGGGGCAGACACGTCTGCCAGGTATAAGTCAATGACTCTCATGCCTTGTATTTATGCTTTCCTTTGTCATTTAGAAATGTTTTCTTTTATTTCTTTTAATTGCTTAAAAATAACATCATGAATAGCTCAATGTTTCATATGAAATCATAGGGAAGAGCTACAAACCAAGATTTTAAAAATTAGTATTTTTAGAGAGGTGATGGAAAGCACGTTTATAATCTGCGGAGTGGCTGTATTTTTTAAAGCTGTATTTAATGGCTAGATATGGCCAACTTTCAGTTACAAGAAAGAAGGAAAGGAGGAAATGAAAATGGCAGAAAGGAAGTCAGGAAAAGAGGCAGGAGGGCAGGAAGGGGGGAAAGGAGGAAGGAGGGAAAGGAGGAGGAAAGGGAAGGGACTCTACGATATGTTGTCCTTTCAAAGTTCCTAAACAAATCCAGTCTTCCTGATGGCACTTTGATAGGCTAGCAGGAGTACTTCCAGACACTTCTATCTGGTCATCTTGCTGCCGTGTATGACCCTCCCTCCCACAAAGAAGGAACCTGTTTGTGTGCCCTTCCTGTCCTGTATGGGTGCCCTTGTTGTGGGATAGGGCCCGGTTCACAGCTATTTCTCTAATCAGTAACTTCAACACCTTTCTCCATTTCATCTCAGTACAGTTTTCTGCTTGGCTCACTTACTCTCCCATTATAAAACGGTCCTCTGCCCCCTGTGCTCCCTGTGTTTGTCCTTGCCTGGGTGATCCCAGTTTCTAACAGGGGTTCAGCAGAAGTCACTGACCGAAATGTACCACCTGAAACAGCAACTTACTTTCAACTGCAACCCACCCTAAGCCATTTTACATACTATTGTAAAAACGATCCCAAACTTAACTCTAGACTTGTTATTTTAAAATTTAGCTTTCTGATCCCTTCTGGGACAAAACAACCTTCTCATTATACTAGGTACCCTATAATCCCACAGGAAGTTCAGATTAATTGATAATGAAATATTTGGCTAAAGTTCTATCATAGCTAGTTACCAATTTGGGCTTTATTTTACCAGAAATCTGGTTTAACTAAAAATATTTTAAGGATAGGCTGGGTGTGGTAGCTCAGGCCTATAATCCCAGCACTTTCAAAGGCTGATGAGGAAGGGTCACTTTAGCCCAGGAGTTTAAGACCAGTCTAGGCAACATGGTGAAATTCTGTCTCTAAAGAAAAATTTTTAAAAAAGTTTATTTATCTTAGGTGTGGCCCCAGCTACTTGGGAGGCTGAAGTGAGAGGATTGTTGAGCCTGGGGGGTAGAGGCTACAGTGAACTATGATCTCATCACTGCACTCCAGCCTGGGTCACAGAGTGAGACCTTGCTTCAAAAAAATAATAAAATATCTTTTAAGGATTTACTGAGACAGGCATGAAAACAAAACCCCAAGGGTTTTTTAAGCATGTGGTTCTTAGCACTACCACCATGAGAGATGAAAAGTAAATGACATACTGTTGGAATGCTGCACCCATTTCTTTTTCTTTTATTCTTTTTTTTTTTTTTTTTTTTCTGAGACCAAGTCTCAATCTATTGTCCAGGCTAGAGTGCAGTGGCACAATCTTGGCTCACAGTAACCTCCGCCTCCAGGCAGAGGTTGACCACAAGGCAGTCAGTTATTGTCCAGGGTTCAAGCAACTCTCCTGCCTCAGTCTCCTGAGTAGCTGGGATTACAGGCGCAAACAACCACACCCAGGTAATTATTGTATTTTTAGTACAGATAGGTTTCACCATGTTGGCCAGGCTGGTCTCGAACTCCCGACCTTACGATCCACATGCTTCAGCCTCCCAAAGTGCTGGGATTACAGGCATGAGACACCATGCCTGGCCACTGTACCCATTTATTTAAGTACTCAATATAAATTACACAATCTTAAAAATATCAGCATTCAAAAACACAAAAACAAAAAAAATTGTATTACTACAATGCCTTATACTTGTTTCCAAAAAGATGTTGGGATTTTGTAAACAATTTACAAGGTATGTTTATTTCAGTAAGTTACAACATAAACAATCACTAAAGTAAGGGCATGTCAAAAACTATATACATGGTTTTCAGCTTCTTAAGTGTATTTTTTTTGGGCAGCTTTTATGATTGGCCCACTATGGATTATTAGATGGTAAGTTAAGTAACTTCTGAATGCTTTCTATTTAATTTTTAAAAAATGATTTAATACTTGGTTGGTCACAGCCCCCATCTATTGTTGTTACCGAAAGTACCGAAAGGTTTATTAACATTTACCTTTAATTTTATTTTTGGAGAAATGTACGTATTCAAGAATTAAGAGAAAAAAGAGAGTCTGCAGAGGACAAAGACTTTTCCAGAGCAAGTCGTTGCTGAAGAGGAAAGTCAAAAGCTACCAAATGAATCAACCTGACAACGTGGCTAGCTAGTTGTGTGACCTTGGGCACAAATACCCTATCTGATTTTAATCTTCTCACAAGTAAAAGGACGGCTCTTTTAGAGTCTTTTAATGCTCTACAGCTGTGTGATTTCTAAGATGAAATGTTGTGTTGAAGTCAGTGACACTAATGTCTCTTCGGAACAATGTCATAGACTGCAGAGAGGGTCAACCACACACCAACGTCCTGGCTATGTGATTGTAGACAAAAGCCACACCCATGCTAACTGAATCCCAGAAAATCCACATGAACATTGTAGGAAAGCGAGGACTGCCCTCACACTTCATTGCTAGGAAAGCATGGCTGATGAGCTCTAATCCAAATGGTTTATAAATTTCATACTGCGGTCTCTGACACAGCGAGCTAAACATCCCAGACTCCACAGCCTCAGCAATGCCTTTGTCCCTGACATCAACCTCAGCTGGTTGTTCATTTTCAATTTTACTCTTAAATGTACCATGTTGATTTCTCCCTGTTTTGTAATCCAGTTCTAATAAAATGAGAAGGCAGGCAGGATTCTGATACAGGGAGATAAATAAAACTGCATTTTGCAAGGCAGTCAGTTATTGTAAGACAGTTATTAAAACGGCTGGATAAATGGCCTCAGACTGCAGCCAGCCTGCAAATCAGCCTGGCAGTCTGGCCCTTGGTGCACATGGCCTTGGATGGCTTTCTCTGAAATCAAGTTACAGCAGTCTGTGAGCCGGGGTCTTTGTTTCTCAGCAGTTCCCACAGCATTTGACTCAGTGTTAGGCACACGGTGGCATGGTCAAACTTGTTGGCAACTCATGAAAATAGTTACTAATGAAAAAAACAAAAAAAACTTCTAGAGCTTTTTGGCATTTTGTAGTTTGGAGATAAACATTGGCTCTAACTGCAGTATTTACTAAACAGGGAATATGTACTTAGAAGCTAAAACAGTACATCGACAACTTTCCTTCTCTTATTCCTTAATTAGTTAATCATAATCATGCACGGTGAGTATTGGAATTTGTTGAATGTGTGGAATTCGTGAAAATGTTGCAAATTTTTTTTTTTATATTCAGGAATGTTTGCCCTGATATAAATTGTATGAGGAAAGTTTATAGGGCCCATGAAATCCATTCAATTCTTTTACTAATTCTCATATGTATATGCCAGTCAAATATTCTGCTTAAAGGTATCTGCATTGTTATTGTTGATATCAGGTGTCAGACATGATGCTAAATGCTTTATATGCAATAGCTTGTTTAATCCTCACAAAAGCTTTTAAAAAGCTATTACCATTCCAGGCCAGGTGCGGTGGCTCGTGTCTACATAATCCCAGCACTTTGGGAGGCTGAGGTGGGAAGATCACCTGAGGCTGGGAGTTTGAGACCAGCCTGACCAACATGGAGAAGCCCCATCTCTACTAAAAATATAAAATTATCTGGGCATGGTGGCTCATGCCTGTAATACCAGCTACTCGGGAGGCTGAGGCAGAAGAATCGCTTGAACCTGGGAGGTGGAGGTTACAGTGAGCCGAGATCACTCCATTGCACTCCAGCCTGGGCAACAAGAGCAAAACTCTGTCTCAAAAAAAAAAAAAAAAAAAAGGTATTACTGTTCCCATCTTGTAGAGGAAGAAATAAAGGATCAAGGAGGTTTGATGAGGTGCCCAAGGTTACATATGGGATGCTGTAACTGAAACCATGGCTTCTGCTTCAACTCCAGCCCTCATTCATAACTAAATGGGAATAAGTGGATGAAAAAATGCCAAATCTTTCCCACGTCTTTTCTGAAGAAGGAGGGTATAAATTATAAATAAAAATGCAACTGAAGAAAGGAAAAACAATTCCTCACATAATTTCTCCATTTATTTGTTCATACTTTAATCAGCCATTAAATGCACCTGTTCACCACTGCAGCAGGTAGTATGAGGAGTGAAAAAGGAGGCCATCTATGCAGCAGAGCTTAAACTCTAATAAAAACACCAGCAGTTCAGGAGGCTGAGGCAGGAGTTCGATACTAGCCTGGCCAATATGGTGAAACTCTGTCTCTACTAAAAATACAAAATAATTCACCAGGTGTAGTGGCAGGTGCCTGTAGTCCCAGCTACTCTAAGGCTGAGGCGGAAGAATCACTTGAACCTGGGAGGCGGAGGTTGGAGTGAGCCATGATCGAGCCATTGCTCTCCAGCCTGGGTGAAGAGAGAGACTCCAACAAAACAAAACAAAACAAAACAAACAAACAAACAAACGAAACAAAACATAAAAAAGAAGGAGAAGGAAAAGTTGAACCATTAAAGATCTTGACTCCTTGCAGAAGGTTCTAGGTGGGAACATGATTTCCCATCAGAACGCTCTCTGAGAGCTTTTTAAGAAGTAAGAAACAGTAACAATGAGAACACCAACATAATAGTTTGTTGTTGGACAAACACCCAGACAGGGCACAGCTCGAGGCCCTTTACTGTATTATCCCTCACCCTCATGAACTCGGGTAGACACTACTGTTGCCATTTTGGAGATGAGGAACCGGAAGCTTGCAACACAACCAGTGACAAACCAGTCAGAAAGCATGAACACAACCAGCCACAGTGTTCGGATTCAAACCCAGACCTGTCGGAGCCCAGAGCCTCCCACCTTTCCACAAAGCCATGCTGCTCAGAGCTGTCTTGCTGCAGTGCTTTTGTGTGCTGTGACAGAATATTTGCAGCAGGAAAACAAAACAAAGCAAAACGAAAAAGATCTTAACTTGGAGGACAGGAGAGAGAAAGTGTAGGGATCAGTAAAATAAATGAGGAGGTTTATCCAGTCATCTGTTCTATTAATTAAATTTAGCTCTCCACCACCTAAGGGCTACAGGCTCCATGGTGATTATCAAGGCAGTCAGGATTTCAAATGGTGCTGATAACTAAGTGTAATAGGATTATGCGGTTTTTTTTCTTTCAGAGCTGAAGCAAAAAAGGTCCTTTAAGCTGAGGTTTTCATGTTGTTTTTTCCTGTTACAAACTAGTCAAGAATGATCCCAGAGACCTCAAGGAGTGTTAGAGTTTATTTCACTTATACAGGGAAAAAGAAAGACCAAGTATTTGCTAGGTAGATGCACACCCTTCTAGCTCTTCTTACCTCAGTCTGGACTTAGAGTCAATGGACTAAACTGAGCAGAAAAGCCACAAGGACAGAGCAATGAACACAGCCCATGTCTAATACCACATTTTCATCTGATGATGTTTGACCCATGAATATACTTCACTTTAAAAAAAACCTTTAAAATTGTGTATTAAATGAATTTTGGTAAATAATTTAAGCAAGGAGGGATGGTTAATATTTCATTTTAGAAACATTCTGCTATGAAATTCAGTTTACTAAGGGGACTGACATTTTCACTTAAAAAATATTTTGACTGAATCTTAAAAAAAAATCCCTGATTTATGTATCTTGTAAATGTAGATTCTTTCATGGTGAGAATATTTTTTAAAGGTTAACCAGCATTTGTTTTTGCTTTAAAAGTAAGTTTTACTTAAACATCATATTTTAAGATATTCAGCACAGAATGAAATGAATATAAACTAGATATAATCTGTCATGTTTGTTAATAGAAAACTTTTTAATGCTATAATGCTTTGCTTGTATTGGGCAGAATATAAAACAAATTTAAAATAGTGAAGAATTAAGTTGAAAAGAAAAATGATTCTGAATCCTCAGATATGGACTTCTTTGGAGAAAGTGAAAATGGACTTTTAAAACATCAGAAGTGAACAACACACTGTTTTTTGAAAGGAGATTATATATGCTGTTAGTCATTTTTTAAAATGACCACAGCTACCATACAGACTTTGATTTGCATTTTTCTGGGGCTGCAGCCCCCTCTTGTATAAACATATACACATACCAATATGGTATGAGAACAGCAATCTTGCAGTGACTTCAAGGAAAAACTTGTTTTTGTAAAAGAACTCATATTTTCCCATGCTACTTCACTTCTTGTGCAAGAACTTTTATGAGATTCTAGTGAGCTGTGTTTTATTTATTTTCCTTTGTTCTTTCCCTCTTACTGGAAGAAAACATTATCTGGATGTAATCGTGTTCACTGAGAATACATTCTGACTCAGGAGATGATTTAAATCAGTGACCAAAAATTAAAATGCCTAATCTGCCACTACTTTGGATATGACAATTTAATTTTACTAGGTCAACACATTCATTTATTTTAATGAAATATACGCTCCCCCACAGGAAGGAACGCTATGTCCGTAATCCCCTGTTACTGACATCTTTGCAGATTTAGCCACTCTCTCTGTAAGTCAACTGACTAAAGTTGAAGTTTTGTAAGCGGGAGAAATACAGAGTGAACATCTCTAGACTACTTCATCAAAGTACCCGGGGACCACATTTTTCTCTCAGGAGACTATCCTGTAACTCAATGAATCATTGCTCGTATTCTCACTATCAGTACGTCTGTGTGTGATGTTCCAGCCACCTGGAGCTGACAAATATTTTTCTATGTGAAGGATACCATAGCAACCAGATTTGCCACATGGACAGAAACCAGCCATAACAAGGCTGCAATTTTAGCCAGGAAGCTGACACGTAGCACCCATGACAGTATTATTGGAAAGAGTGCCTTGAGATCTGAAAATTCATTATTTTCCAGGACTTAGTTCTTCAGACACAAGAACGGAAATTACCCCAAGCCCTAACAGAAAGAAGGCGTTTAAGATAGGAAAGATCGTATGTTTCAAATCTGTCTCTGTTTCTTACAAGCAATGCCAATTTGGACAAGTTAATAAGCCCTCTGAGCCTCAGTTTTTTCATCTATAAAATGGAGACAATCATTCTTGCTCAAAGGGTGGCCGTAAGGATGACGTGAGATGCTCTGTGCTGTGGTTGGCAGATGGGACACATGTAACAACTAAAAGCTTTCTCTATTCGGTTAAGAAGGGAGGTAATAGACACATAGAGGACACAAGAACGCTGGCCTCCAAAACAGGGTCCAGATGATTATATTAGAAATGATACCTGTGTTTAAAATATTTTATTAAAATAGTCAAAAATATTTTTAAAGAAATATGCTGGGCACGGTGGCTCATGCCTATAATCCCAGCACTTTGGGAAGCTGAG